AAGACCCTCAGTTTCAACTTCTTTTGATCTCTTTTAGCTGCATACCACCTCTCGGGGCTCCACACCCCGTCATTGAGGCAGGCCCTTGGGATTGAATTGGGCCACACCTGCGCGAGGGGGGAATCGCGCAGGGCCAGCAGTTCTGTCCTGAGGTACATCCCAGTCAGTCACAAAGTCCAGCAGCAGAAAAGCCCAAAAACTTCAATGTAATGAACTTCAGCATTATTGAGAAGACAACAGATCACATCTTCTCTAGTTTAATATTTTGCAGTAAGCTACAGATACCACAACAGATTGTTTCTATAGGATCTCTCCTCCCGTTGATCAAATGCTATATCAATAGCTTTAATACTATGTATACAAGTGCAAATTCTACACTAAAATAAATATTTCCAGACATCTCAGTATACTGTTAGCTATTACAAACCAGATACCAAAGTATTCACATAACTACTGGTTTTAATTCCTCTGGCCAAGAGCAATATCCAAAGCTTTTGCACATTGATTATGGAGAACATACTTCTTGAGTTTTGTTCTATCTGAAAGTAAAGTCTAAACCTACTAAAACCTCTTAAACCTACTGTATTTATGTTGTCAATGTTAACACTTGGAACAAAATTCCTTGTTATGAAAAAATATATTGTAAGCTTTTAAAAATATTCTGGATTTCATATATTAAACTCTATTTACTGAAGGCTGCAAGAAACAGAAAGTAAATAACCAGCTGAGATTTATTTCAGAATAAATATCTTGAAAGGATAATTAGGCTGCTTTTCAGTACATTCAACCCAAAGTACTATTTTGTAGTATTGGATGGTATTTCTCTTTGCAAATATTTGCAGAGACAAGAATTTTTATAAAATAAATTTTGAGTTCTCTTAAAAGTCAAAAGCTGAGTTGTATCATGTAAAAACATCCCTCGCATTCTAAGGAGCTAGGATGGTGACATTAAGAAGTAAAACTCGAGAATGCCGGATATCTGCCATCTCGCCTGAAGGGTTTTTGTACTGCATTCAAATGTATCATCTCACTTCTATTAAGTCGCTGACGAACGCCGCTAAATATTCTTAAGCTAAAACGCTTTTCAAGAAATCCCGCTTAGGTTATCATCTACTGGGGTAGACAAGACCGCCCGTCGATCCAGCTCAAAAGGGAAAGAGGAAGCGACCAAGAGGCCGTGCCAGCAGCGCACACAGGTGGCTGAGAGCAGCTCCGAGACCGCCTCCCCTCGGCCACTTGGGGAGGGGTAAACGGTGCCGCCTCCGACAGGGCGGGCCAGCTCGCATGTAGACTGGAGAGTGAGGTGACCGCAGGGCGCAGCGAGAGGAACCGCCGCCTCTGCTGCCGCCGAGCCCTGGGCAGGCGGATCCCCATGCGGCGGTGGGGACTCCTCCGGGTCCCTGCAGAAACGGCGACGGGGGGGCGCCAATGACTTGGACTAGCAGCATGAGTAGTGGCTACAGCAGCTGGGAAGAATCGGAGTCCGAGGAGTTTTTCTTCACAGCTCGCACTTCTTTCTTCAGGAAATCCTTTGGCCAAGCCAAGCCAAGCCTGCAAGTAAGTGATCGTTGGCCTCCCTCGAGGTTGCTCTCGGGGTACCAGCTGGGCGGGAATCTTCGGGCCGAGTCCCGGGCCATGCGCTCTACCCCGGCCTGACCCGTTGCAGGCCGCGCCTTCGTCTGCAGTCCCACGTGCTCTTTCCAGCTCCGGAGCTAGCACTTATCTCACCCAGAGCTCCCACAGTTCCCTTCCTCCATATATAAATTCTACCAAGGATCCATGTGAACCAGGAGTCTCGAAGACCCGAGTGCAGAAAAGGAAATGAGATAGCTGGAGTTTTTTTTTTTTTTGCTGTTGCTAGATAGTTCCAATCTCGCCCCCTCTGTAGCTCAGCCGTTGAAACAGTTAAAACGAGATTGATCTGGCTTTTCAGGCTTGCCAAAAATAGATTTCAGCAGATCCACTTACTTGTGAGGCTTGTCAAAACGGGCCCCGGACAAACATTCTACCCGCGGTGGTGCAAAAAGCAGTTCTCCGAATTCGGCTGCTCGTATGGAACCGCGTGGTATGTAGCCATGACCTTGGTGTACAGTAGTTTCAGCGGGTTTTTTTTTAAGCGAGTACTATACGCCGACCAGATATGATAAATACAAGTTTATAAAGACATATAATAAGAGAAGTAACTTGAGTCGTATGTTAACTTGTCCGCCTTTGTATGTCCTTTCGATATGAGAAAGACAAGGTCCATGTCATTCTTTAAGAAAGGAATTGAAAATAAAAAGTAAACATAGTTGTTCCGTTTATGTAAACATCTATATCTGTATATGGAATATTGTGTACAATTGTGGCTGCCACATTTGGAATAAGATGTCATAGCATAGGAAAAAGTTGCATAAGGGGCAACTAAAATTATTAGAGGACTGAAGCATCTGGTTTACAATTAAAAGGTAGAACATTTGTGACTCGGGCTTAAAAAGGCCTGGGGGAGGGTCATTATTGAAGTGGAAACTGCTGAATGATATGGAAAAAGTGGACATGGAGACGTTTTCCTCTGTCTTTCAAAACAGAAATTATCCAGTGATGCTGATTGGAAGCAGATTTAAAACACACAAAAAAGTACAGAGGATAATGAACCTGTAGAATTCATTATTGTAAGACATGATAACATAGGTGGCTTTCTTTTTATTAAAGTTATAATAAAAATAATGACAAAATACAGAGTTTTTACAAGTACTGTATTTCATTAAAAATTTCAATATTTCATTAGTGTTTGTGTGTGTGTGCCTGCATCCCTTGGAGTCAGTGTTGGCTCCTGGTGACTACATGGGTTAGTAGTCCCTGCAGTTTTCTTGGCAAGGATTTGTTGAAAATGAATCAATATTAAAACCCAAATATTATATGTATACCAACAATAATCAACATATTATAAATAATAAAGTGTGAGATTAAGATTGCAGTAATGTATGTCAAAATAGTACAGACATTGTTTAGAAAAAACTAATTTTTGGATATAGTACAAGCTCTATAGAGAATTTTAATGAATGACTTTCAAAGGTTATTGGATACATTAATAAAAAACAGGTCTATCAACCGTAATAAGTCTTTTTTTTATTTATTGAAAATTTTTAAAATTTTTACAATATAACTCCCCACCTCCCTCATACCCCACCCTTCCCCACCCCCCTCCCTTCCCCCCCGACTTCCCAGAGCTACACACAGGGTTTACAATACAATAATTATATTCTGTCTTAAATTATATTATCCTTAAATTAACAATTCTATAACATCCTTTAGCTCTCTTCTAAACTGACATATTAAACATCATTATTACGAATTATTTAATTTTAATAAAATATACTACATTAACAATCACAAATTACTCAAAAACCAAATGAAACTTTTTAGTTCCATATTTCTTTTCTATATAATCTATCCATCTTCTCCAAACCAGTATATATCTTTCTTGTGAATAATCCTTCACATAGGCTGAAATCTTAGCCATTTCTGCTAAATTTGAAACTTTAAATGCCC